GTTTATTAGAAAGTTTTATTAGGATACGATACTAGAATTTTAAGAACTTCAGCTGTTCTAAAACCTAATAGATGCTCAGTTAGGATTCTTTACAGAAGGGATTTTAAAGGCATTGCACTACATTTAAAAGGTTTTATGATTTAATAAAATTTTTGGTCTTGACTTGTGCAAATATCCAAGGCTTCCATAACTTCTCTATTTGAGACTGGCACTTCTGGATTAAAGTGGAGAGACTAATTTCAGAAGGCAAAAATGTACTCTTTACAAAGCCGTAGCTACCACCAGAAGGCGAAAATTCAAACCTAGTTGTTCACACCAAACGCTTGCCTATTTGGGGGTTTTATTCTTACACGCTTGTAAGACTTTCTCAGCTTTAATCCTTCGACATAATCTTCTTCACAGCACTCACGGCATTACGAATGGAAGATTGTATCTTTGAGAGAAAAACTGCTTGATCCAAGGTGTAAACAGCCAAGAAGAGTTCCTGGTGTTGGACAAGGGTACCAAGTAGTAAGAGTGTGGGTAAGATGGAAGAATTCTTTTATTAAGTCCGTGGGAAGTCTAACCTTAAATAGGGATCAAGTTTTCATCACACTAAATAAATATTAAAAGCATAGAACAACATAAAATATTCCCAACATCCATCTTTTTTTCTTCCACTGTGGCACTGGTCACTAAATTTGCTGTTACACTGTGTCTGTAACACGACAGTGCCACACATCATTTAACTATTTGTTACACTTAAAATGGAAAAAAAAAAAAGAACCCTAAATACGGAGCACTGTGTTTTCTTCTAGCCACAGTCTGTTTCGAGTGCTCTCTATAACAGCCCTCGCTCCTCTTGTCTTCGGGGCGGCTGCAGGCAGACCCACAGTTGTGACACGCGGCGAGCGGAGTCGCACAGCGCCCCGAGGGCCCTGCGAGCGGAGGGCGCGCGGTGAGGGCCGGGCTCGCCCCTACCTGCCGTCCCCGCGGGGCGGCCGCCGCCCCTCGGCAGCAGCCCTCTTGGGAAGGAAGCGGTAATAGAGGTACTCGTCGCGGAACTCAAACTCGTTAGTGAGGTGCTGCACGACGCCGCCTCGCACCAGCCTGTCCCCGTAGGCGACGGCCTCGCCGCGGTCGGACGCGAGGCCGACCCGCAGCAGCCAGCTCACCAGGTCGCAGCCGAAGAAGATGCCGGTGGAGATCTTGGCACTACACCTGTGTGTCAAAGGAATGATTCACCCGCATGTTCTGCAAACCTGGTACTGCCACTGCACCGTGGGAAAGGCAGGGAAGAATAGCAGGAAACAAGGAAAGACATCGTGATAGTTAAGAGTATGTTAGAAGAGAACTTGTAAGCTTTGCATATTAGGGACATGCCAATCTTCGCTACTTTTTCCTAGAGACGTTTCAGTGAACAGCAAAATTTACATGACAAGTTATTTTAGGCTTGTGCAAATAAGCTACAATAAGCATAAATAGCAATTTTTCTACAAACACACAGTATAATGCTATTTACCAGATACTTACTTCCCATGTACTCTAATTAATGTGACCACCTCTGCAGCAAAATATGCGAGTGCAGGGTGCCTGCAGCATCAGCAACTCAAGCTGCACTATAATGCCATTTTATAATTTTCTTCAGCTTGAACAGACACTAACTACTTATATATACTGCAAATAAAAATCATTTAACTTGCATATCTGGTTAAATATTTACCACAGAGGCAGGACTCACAATAAAGACATTTACAACAAGATTAAACTAATCCCCTGTTACATATTTATGAGGCAGTATCACTCACATCTAGCTAGCAGCAGTAAAAATACCATTTGGAAGTTTACCTGCAGCAATGAATGTTTCTGGTTATCTAAAATCTGTTCTATGGAACCCATGTGCAGGGTTTCTGAAGATGATTAGAATTACGCTCATCAGCAAAAAAACAATGAATTTCTTTCTCTTTTTTTAAAATTAAAACAACAGGGACTTAGGAGCAAGTCTTAACATCTATTAGCAGAGAAGCAAGAAAATAAAAGCCATGATTACAAGGTCTCAGTTACAGTATAGAATTAGGGTCCAGTTAGATGTATATTTAAAAGAAGAAAATACATACTTTCTTTTAACTTGTAACAGGGAATAAGATATGGCACTGGTTTTGCACAAACACAGCATTAAATGGAGCAACAAATGTATTCTCAGATGACATGTGATTAAGAAAAAGCAAAAAGACCACCAACCAAGGGAACAGAAAAAAAAAAAAAACAAACAAAGGCCAAGAAACCACAATGATAGCTGAAGCACAGATTGCTACAGATATAAAGTCTGCCCTCTTTCAAAACAAACATTTTCTGGTACATCTTTTCTGTCTGGGCATGAAAGCAGCAAGTCCTTGAACTGCCATAGCTCATCTTTCTTAAGAGCATTGATTACTTATTATTTATGCAACATTACTGACTTTTGGAAGGACTGAAATCATGGGAGAACAGCTAATACTGCCCACCACCAGTTCTGGAACCTGTTTTCAGATTATGAGAAAACAACAACAGAAGATACTTGTGGTGTGAGCAAGAGCTCACACCACAAGAGTGGAAGTGCCTTATTAGAACAATTCCTCATGTCTCAGCTTCATATAGTAAATACTTGAAAATAGGAAGAATCGTTATCATCCTTCTCCCTCTGCTTCCACCTGCGCTTATCCTCTTTCCATCTACCTACACACACTTGAAAACCTAATTCTCAGTTGGGGCATCAGAATTTATACATCATAGCTCTGGTGAGGTCACAAATTGAGGATTACAACTCATGACAGGAATGGAGAGAACAAATTATACAAACTTGGAAGGAGCAAAGGTCCTAAAAACACGATAGCCTCACACACTGAGTGGTTTCATAAAGACTCCAGTGGCAGCAGCATGCCCAGAAGCTTTTGCCTCTGGCAAAGAGTGGTAAGAGTTAGCAAAAATTCTTTCCTATAAATACTGTCATCTTCTTAATCCCAAAATAAACAAATGGAAACTAAAAAGAAATCATTCCAAAACACTGAAATGTTTAAAACGGAGAACAGTTCTTCAAGGGAAGATTCCCTCAAATTTGACCAAACATCATAGACACAGAGTCAGTCACATGCAGTTCTTCAGAAAGTTTTTGTCTCCTAAACTGCAGTTAAATGCAAAATCTGAGGCCAAGTTTTAAAGATAAACGATGAAACTTTTGATTACTCGTACATAGCTCAGACAGGACAATGTTGTAATTGGAACTTCAGTGCTTCAGTCTGAGACTGGACACATTTCTCTAAACATTATTGCTATTTTTTTAATCCTTGTGCTGATATTTGAGTACCTTTGCCACACCAGGAGTCCCCCACAGAAACCTCAGAGCGCCCTGCGGGTGAGCTGTGCCAGCCCTGGGATCCCTCACGCACACAGGAGGGGGCCTTACCTTCTGCCTCTCACAATGCTTTTCACACAGTGATCTCGGTGGTATCGAACAAACTGCTGACACGTCAGCCTGATTTCCTCGGGAAGAGCAGGATCTGTATGACCTGCTGCTTCTCTACCGCCCCACAGAAATTCAAGTCTTAAAAACAATAAAGAGAATCAAAAAAAAAAAAAAAGAGTAAGTCACCAAATGGCAGTTATTTATATACAATCTTCTCAGTACTTTATTGCCTACAAACACTCAGAGGTTTTGCTCTAGGCTTAAGCAGAAGGAAAGGCAGAAAGTGGCTGTGAGGCCACTGTGGCTGCTGGATTTATGCCTTCACACTGAGGCAGTGATAAAAGTCTCCATCTACACAAAGAACTTCCAGGAGGTCAGGAATACATGACATTGAAATAGTGATAACAGAAATTTGCTTCAGCATTCATACCTAAGGTTTTATTTATTAGCTAGAACTATTTCTGAACGCTCATCACTATCACTGATGCTGTCACACGTTGCATAATCATTAGATAACAACGATTTTGCCTGTGGGATTTTTGCCCATGGGAGGGCCCTTAGGACAGCACTACACACTTGTGCACAGGGACCTGCAATGGGCTCTCCACAGCTAGCAGCAGGCACACTTTTTGGGAAAAAAGATAGAAAAGAATAAAAACTGAGATAGCAGTGAGCATTCAAAACCCTTATTAATTATTAAATTTCCAGGCACATGTATAAAGAATGTTTACCTTCGTTTGAATGGCAAAATGATTAAATGCTTATCTAAGCCAAAAATACCAAAGGAAATAAAGCCCTGGAGGAAGAATAGAGAAATAGCAACATTAGGAAATTAATTCTTTGTTTTGCTCTTCACCGACTAAAACAAAACACTAACTATTCATTGCCAAAGAAGTGTGAGTGTGCATGTGCGTGTGTGTAAAAATAACAAAACAAAACAGCAACAACCACCCCACTTTTCTTCTGCCATGTGTGTGTAAAAAAAACAAAACAAAACAGCAACAACAACCACCCCACTTTTCTTCTGCCAGAATATATATGCAAAAAGTATCCTTCTCCTCTGCACCCCACTAGAAATGTATTTTGGTTCTGGTTTGGTTTTTCATTTGAGCTTTAAAAAGATTAATGCATATTATTCTGTCAGAGAAACTCTGCAAGAAACAGACATCAGTAAATCTACTGCTGTGACATCCCATCTAATATTCAAAGCATCAGGATCCTTATGTAACCAATTATTTAAATCTCTCCTTATTAATGTCAAGAGAAGACTGGACCGACCGTAATTTACATGCTACAATACTCTGATTAATTTGAATTTCTGTACTGCCTTTGAATCAAGGCTAGTATAACTACTCAATACTGCACTGTATCTGCAGTCTACACTTGTCTGCGCACATGCAAAATATTCTTTCTGTATTCACACTTCGACTGCCTTGTTCTTCTCACCTCCAGAGGTAACAAAACTAACTTGTGTCATTTTACACTGAAATAGGATTAATCTAGTCCAGGCTTTAGTTAATAGAGTAGTAACTAAAACTCAACAGTTAATAAGTTAAAATTGTATAGATAAAATATGATCACAGTCTTCTTGCACACAATTTAGTTACAGTGGTGTCATTTCACACAAGTTACACTGGAGCAACTTTCTGGTACAGGTATGCTAAAATCCTACTTAGTTTCTACAAGCATTTGGCGCTCAGTTGTCCTTTATGCCTTGGAAACATTCATCCCAAAAGCACATCAAACAACTGTGTCATGATAAGAAAACTATCAATGCCAAAAAAAAGTTAAGGAAAACATGCACAAAAAAACAACACAAGGAGCTGTATATCAGCACTGTTTGAAGACTTCAGCTTATATCCCTGTTACAACATGTGCTATAGCATCCACTAACAAAGTCAGTCAGAACAAACGCTGATAAGTACCTGGCCAAAATTAAATATGGCACAAAAGAATTGCAGTTCCACATAGAGCCTGCCAGGCTCTTGGTTGAACAGCCACCATAAGCAACTGGAAAGATTCTGTTGGGAGGGGGAAAAAAAAAAAAAAAAAAGAGATAGATCAGAATTGATTCTCAAAAGCAAGAATACTTTCTTAGCCCTCACACTCAATTTCACTGTCTTTATGTTATGATAACTCAAAGACAAATAAGAGGAAATAAACATCTTAAGACACCATGTTAGTTAGAGCTATGACACAGGGTGTATGTTTGATTTTAAATAAAAAACATTAAAAAAAAGAAAAACAGCATTGTGGAGATTCTGCCCTTTTACATGTTTATGTAAGGAACCTGTCCTAAGCACATTTAGGCAACCATCTTAAAACAGATAAATCCTGAAGATCTGTCTGGCCCAGTATTGTTCTTAGGCCTGTTTAGCTTAGACTAGTGTTTTCTACATAGGTAAGACTGTGGTAAGCTGAAGCATACACTGCTTTACCTATTTTAGATGCCTAAGAAAAGAAAACAAATCCAAAGCTAATCCATTTGCACGTAAAGGTCAATTTTGTAATATAATTGGTTTCATTTCATAGTATTTAAGTAAGCATTCAGCTACAACCAAAATAGACTCTAGAAGATGGAACACCTCATTACTGTAAAGATGCAAAGTATGTATAAATCAGCATGAAATAATTGTTACAGGAAGAGCTTTCTTTTACAGCACTAGTAAGTCCTGAAATTAACAGTAGTAGCTCTTGTGCCACACTTGCTACGTTGCTGTATGTTTGTGCACAGTAGTTTTTCATTTACAGGTAAAAATATTTTCTCCTCTTATTGTCACCCATTAAGAACCAACCAACCAAACAATCAAAACAAACAACAACAACCAAATAATCAGTGCCAAACCCCAATTTTTTTTCTATTTTAAATTAATTCTTATATTGTCTTCACTACTAAGGCATCTGTTAAAGAAATAAAATTCCAAATCTCAGTGTGATTAGATGAAGCCTTTTTTAAATAGTTATCTTTAGAGACTGTTAAATACTGTTTTAAATAGTTATCTTTACTGGCTAGGGAAAACAACAGCTCTTGAGAAAAATGGAGAGAGGGACAGAAGAGAAATCAATTTGCTAAAGATATAACTCTGTTTTTTCTTCTCAGTGTTTTCTCTCCACTGTGTTTTTTTTTT